CCAGACAGGACAGTCTGGACAGGACTGTCACCACCTCAGCTCCCTGGGAGGCTGCAAGGGCAGAGGGTCAGTGAGCAGAAACCCTCCTCTGCCTGGGTGAAATCTTGAGGGAGAGGGGCAGAATACATGGAAAAGTGGATTTAGATTGGATATTAGGGAGAAGTTCTTCCCTGTGAGGGTGGGGAGGCCCTGGCACAGGTTGCCCAGAGGAACCGTGGCTGCCCCATTTCTGGAACTGTCCAAGGCCAGGTTGGACAGGACTTGGAGCACCCTGGGACAGAGGAAGGTGTCCCTGCCTTTTTCCTGATTCCTGAGGTTGCCAGCGAAGCTGAGCACATCTCTCCTGTGGTGCTGGGAAAACTGGCTTGTCAGAAAATGCTCTGGGCATCTCCAAACACCTGTGGGGACACAGTGCTGCTTCCCTGAGCCTCATCCCCACCTCAGCTGCCTCCCTGGAGGCTTTGCAGCTCATCTGTTGCTTCCTGACTTCGTGGGGAGCAGCAGAGGTGGAACAGCTGCCTTATCCTTCCCCTCACCAGCCTGTTGGGCTTGGTGAAGCAGTAGCCTGCTCTGGACCATGGAACTTCCAGGGAGTAAGTTCATGGAAGCCTGCAAACAGTGCTGAGCTCTACAGGGGAAAAAAACCCCAAATCTATTCTAGCAGTCAGTACCATAGTGTAGGAGATGGGGTTTGGAGTGTCTGAGCTGCAGCCTGGGCTGTGAACCACGGTTCTGGTGCTGCCAAGACCTCACCTGCCTCTCTGCTTCACTGCTTTTCCCCAGGATGGGCCTGGATTCTACACCACCAGGTGCCTGGGGCCGATGCTGTCCGAGGTGGTCCGAGTTCTCCAGGTGAGTGTCCTGTCAGCTACTGAGCATCCCCCAAACAGTCATGGAAATTGCTTCTGCTTTGGCCAGGGCTGGGGTCAGCCTGGGTGTGGACAGCAGAGGATGTGGGTCACCAGCCCTGGGTCTTGTGGTTGTCCCCAGCCCGTTCTTGGCTCCTGTTTGCAGTTAATGGGGCTGGGCTCTCTGCCCCAGACTGGCTTTTCAGGACCTCATCCCATGATGGCATCCCTTCCTCTCCTACCCTGCAGGAGGGCATTGACCCAAAGAAAGTGGATGCCATCTCCACAGCCTTCGGCTTCCCGGTGGGAGCGGCCACACTGATTGATGAGGTGGGCGTGGACGTGGCCACTCACGTGGCCGAGGACCTGGGCAAGGCCTTTGGCGAGCGCTTCGGAGGCGGCAGCATCGACCTCTTCAAGCTCATGGTGCAGAAAGGCTTCTTAGGTGAGCTGCTAAGGTGTTTTCAGCTGAAGGGTGTTCCCTCTGCTCCAGGGAAAGCACCAGCATCCATCAGCCTCTCCTGCCCTGGGCAAGAACAGTGGGAGAACATTCCCCTGGGAATGGGGCAGGGATCCCTTCCACAGAAGCAGGGGTGCTGTTGGTCCTCTGGACCTAGAGAAGGAATTAGGACCTGGCACATCTTGCCAAGGGGTCAGGTGGAGCAGGGTGCCTTCCCTCTGCCCCTGCTGAGACAGCAGATGTGTGCTCTGAGCTGTAGAGTGCTGGGAGGATCAGCTCCAGGAGCAGGAACAGCAGGCACAAAACAAAACAAGGCACAAAACAAGATCCAAGGTGTCAGGAGGAAACAGGACATGTGGCAGGAGCTGACTTGTCTGCTTTGATCCCCGCAGGTCGCAAGGCAGGGAAAGGCTTCTATGTGTACCAGGAGGGAGTGAAGAACAGGAGCGTGAATTCTGGGATGGATGAGATCTTGGAGAAGTTCAGGGTGCCAGCGAATCCTGACGTGTGAGTACCTGTGTGTGAAGCAAGGCTGGGGCTGGCTCATGCCCAGCTCCTTGTGCTCTGAGCAGCAGCACGAGGTGCAGAGGTGTTGTTAAGGGACATGGTGCTCCCAGGGCTGGAGCCCCTCTGCCATGGAGCCAGGCTGGGAGAGCTGGGGGTGCTCACCTGGAGAAGGATCCAGGGAGAGCTCAGAGCCCCTTGCAGGGCCCAAAGGGGCTCCAGGAGAGCTGGAGAGGGACTGGGGACAAGGGCTGGAGGGACAGGAGCCAGGGAATGGCTGCCAGTGGCAGAGGGCAGGGCTGGATGGGATTTGGGCAGGAATTGTTCCTGGCAGGGTGGGCAGGCCCTGGCACAGGGTGCCCAGAGCAGCTGGGGCTGCCCCTGGATCCCTGGCAGTGCCCAAGGCCAGGCTGCATGGGGCTTGGACACACCAGGGACAGGGGAAAGTGTCCCTGCCATGGCAGGGGTGGAACTGGATGGGATTTAAGGTCCCTTCCAGTTCAGACCATTTTGGGATTCCATAACATTGCTGAACACTGGCTGATCAAGCCCTCACTTATATTCCAAATCCATCTGGACACAATCCTGAGTGCCATGCTCCAGGAATCCCTGCTTGGGCACAGAGGTTGGACTAGAGGAGCCCCAGCCATTCTGTGGTTTTGAGTGCCTGCTTCAGGACACGTCACGGAGCCCTGATCCTCCTGTGGATTGGGACACTCCCTGGGCTGGCTCTGTGTCCCACCTGTGCTGGCCTGAGGTGCTGTCCCTTGCCCAGCCCTCACAGCCTGTGTCCCGCAGCTGCTCCGACGAGGACATCCAGATGCGCCTGGTGACGCGCTTTGTGAACGAGGCAGCCATGTGCCTGCAGGAGGGCATCCTCAGCAGCCCCGTGGAGGGGGACATCGGGGCTGTCTTCGGCCTGGGCTTCCCACCCTGCCTGGGAGGTGAGTGCTCTGGGCTGGGCTTCGGGCTCCAAAGCTCCCCGTGGGCTGCAGCCATCTGGCAAGGCAGGAGTGAAGGCCAGCTTTGAGCTGCAGCCTTGAGGAAATGGCTCAGGCTACATCAGGGAAGCTGTAGGTTGGGTATTGGGAATAATTCCTTTATGGAAAGGGCTGTCCAGCCCTGGCACTGCTGTGCAGAGTAGGGGTGGACTCCCCATGCCAGGAGGGATTTAAAAGCCCTGTGCATGTGGCACTTGGGGACATGGGGCAGTGGTAGTCTTGGCACTGCTGGGGAATGTTTAGACTCAATAGTGTCAAAGGGCTTTTCCACCCTAAATAATTTCTTGATTCTGACGCTGTCTCTTTCCACTGTTGCTGGAGTTCACCAAGGGCTCTTGGACCCCAAGTGGTGCTTCTGCCATGTGCCTGGTGCTTTCCCTCCTTGAGCCAAATTCAGACTGAGGGAGCAGCCTCAAGGGACTTCTTACAAAGGGACAGGATGGTTTCCCATGGTTAGACAGGAGATTGTGAAGGAATTGTTCCCTGGGAGGGTGGGCAGGCCCTGGATCCCTGGCAGTGCTCAAGGCCAGGTTGGACACTGGGGCTGGAGCAGCCTGGGACAGTGAAAGGTGTCCCTGCCATGGCAGGTGCAAGACTGGATGGGGTTCCAGGTCCCTTCCCACCAAAACCATTCTTGATTCCATGATTATCCATGTCCCAGCTTGTCCCCAGCACTCAAGTGCCTCTGCCCAGCTCAGGTGAGCCAGGAGCAGAGTCCTGCATTCCCCTGATGAGGGACTGAGGGGGTCTTGTGAAGGATGAATGGGACAGAGCCTTTGCTTCTGGATGCTGGGACCCTTCCAGACACCTTGGTGCTTCTCCTTCCCTGTCCCTGCTGTGTCCCTGTCCCCACTGTGGCCCTGCTGTGTCCCTGTCCCCACAGGTCCCTTCAGGTTTGCAGACTCCTACGGCGCCCGGCAGCTCGTGGACAAACTGCGCAAGTACGAGGCCGTGTACGGCAGCCAGTTCACACCGTGCCAGCTCCTGCTGGACCACGCCAGCAGCCCCAGCAAGAAATTCCACCAGTGAGGTGGCCTGGTGACACCCTGACAGCTCCTCCAGCCAGGCCCCAGCTCCCCACAGCACCCCATTCTGCATAGGTTAATCTCCAAATCTCCTGGGGGAGGAAGGGAAGGAAGGAAAGAAGAAAGGAAAGGAGAGGGGCAGCAGGTTGCCTCATGGCTTGTAGTCATTTCAAGTGCCTTATCAGCCACTGTGTGTTGGGCACGTCCGTCCCACACCAGCCTGGGCCTGGGGGCTCTGTGCTGGGGAATTCCTGCTGCCTTCACCTCTGTGCCGTGGCCTCCAGAGCTCCCAGTCTGGCCAGTAGCATCCAGTTTGTGGCTGGAACCGAGGCCTTGCCTTTCCATAAACATCCACCAAAATAAAGCCCCATCTCCTGGGTTTGGACTCCTGGTTCTCCTCCTGTCTCCCTGAGGGAACGGCTTGAGTTGGGATCGACTGGTTCAGGCAGTGCCCTGGGGTTCTGTCCGTGGCGTGCTGGGTCCCGTGGAGGGGCAGGATTGCAGCAGCACAGGGCAAAGCAGTGTCACCTCTGCTGTCACTCAGGGGCTGTGAGGAGCCTCTAGCTCCCTCTGCCATGGGGTGATCCTGGCAGATGGACCCGCCTGTAATTGCAGATGGAGCAGCCAAAGGCCAGAAGGGCCCCCCGTGGGGAGAGATCAAGTTAAACTAAAAGGCTTTAAATCTCCGGGCACCTGTCACTGGCCTGCCCCCCCTCCCTGCCTTCCTTTCCAGCTTCAAGCCATTTTCCTGCTCCCTGGCAGGTCTTGGGCCAGGAGCTGAACACTGCTGCTCTTCATGTCACTTCTCCCTGTCTTTCAAAGCTCCCAGACCAAAACTGGGACAAGACATCATCTCATCTGCCTCTTCTGAGTTCTGGGGGAGGCACAGGGCTGGTAGCCAGCCTTCAGCCCCCCTGGGGAGTTCAGCATTCCCAGGACCTGCCCCTGCTCTGGGAGCTGCTGCTGCTGCTTGCCCAGATGTGCCTGGGGCTCTCTCAGACCAAGGGCGCTTCCTTGCAGCCTGTGGGATCCCCCCAGGATCATCTGCCCTTGGAGGAGGACATGAATCCCTTCCCAAGAGATGGGAAGGGTCTTGCAGGGAGGGGAGAAACCCCTCGGAGCATCCATCCTCCCCCCTTCCCCTCCTCCCCGAGCAAGGGCCTTCTCTGGGAGCTCATTAGTCTCCCGTACATTTATTATGCTAATCCACAAGGATTAAGTTAAACCAGTCGACGCAAAATCCAGTGTTTTCCAGCCCGTTGGGGCCAAAATTCCTGTCCAGTGTTAAAACGGGAAGAGGGAAGGGCTGGGCGGTGGGGAGGGAGAACCTGCAGCATCAAAGAGGGGCAGGAGCGGGGCCACCCGGAGCCGGGTGAACTTGGGGACCCCCCCCGTGCCGGGGGTCCCTAGTGTGGCACTAGATCTTGGGGCGCCAGCCCTTGATGAACTGCATGATCTTCTTCACCTGGAGCTTGGTGAGGCGGAAGTCGTCGGCCAGGATCTCCTCGCTGAGCTGCACGAAGATGCTGCCGTCGATGCGCTCCCGGGCGAAGAAGCTCACGACGTCCTCGGAGAGGCCGATGAAGCGCAGGCACTTGGACACCTCCTCCAGCGACAGCGCCGACAGGTCGGCGGGCGGCAGCCAGGCCGGGCTGTCCCCGCTGGGCCGGGGGGCGGCCGGGGGCGCTGCCCA